CACACAAAAGCTGTGTGCTTAGTACAATTCCCCAGGTCTGTGGCAAAACTAGGAAGCGGAGAGGACATAACAAGTGTCGAGCTGACGGCCCCGTGTGAAAACGTGAGCAGGTACTGGCTACTGCCCAGGTGTACTGCACCCACTCCGATGGGGAGTACAGACACTGACCCGGGCTCTGTGGGGTCAGAGCCTCTTCCCGTTTGCCACTCCTCCGTGTTCACCGGTGCTCTACAAGCCTCCAAGAGCAGATAAAGGAGCGCGTGGGCATCTCCACAAGGGATCGCTAGCATGTCCTCACCCCTAGCCAGAAAAGTATTCTCAGCTAGGAGATGGGGGAGAGAAGCTGTCAGCAGTTAGCAGGCATCATTATTTTGGCTAATTTAGGAAATTTAGGAAATCAGGATGAAGCTGGGCAGAACTCATTCCTGAGCATTCCTTGAGGGACAATTTCTCATTTTGAATTGCTGTTACTATTCCATTGATAACAGGAGTTTTTTAATAGTCAGGGGCAACGAATGTAAGGACGTTACATTCCTGGGGCCTCAGTATGCCGGGAGACGCAGCTGGCGGCCACACACCCAAACCCAGAGCACCGCATCCTGCACTCAAAGCTGAAGGGATGGGTGGGTGGCTCTGCCACACAATGGCCAGTGAACCTCCCATTGCAAGTACATTTGATCATGTTATAAATCTGTTGTCTGGCTGCACAACCAGACTTTTCTATCCTGACTTCAACAAACACTTCCTGAGCCAGGTGTACTCTGCTGGTACTGAGAACCGAGAGATGGTGTGTATGTGTGTGTGCACGCGCGTGCACGCACATGCATGTGTGGTCCCCACCCTTAAGGAGCTCGGTTTACTGAGCATAACAAGTAGTAAATCAACAGTATGCTGATAAGTGCTTTGGAAGAGAGAAATGCAGGGTGTTGTGGGAGCCAGGAGGAAGGTCATCCCCAGGTTGCAGCGAGGAGCAGGGTGGGAAGGAAGGTGTCCGGAAGAGTGGAAACCTGGGCTGAGCTACTGAAATGGGGAGCAGGGGGCAGGTCGTTCCCAGGAGGGCCCAGAGGCGATGGCTGGTGGGAGGCTGGGCGGAGGTTAGAAGCCCAGATTAGGGAATAAGTGAAATGAGGAATGTGCCCACAGGCCAGATCGTTAAAGACTGCAGGCCTGCGAAGGGCCTTGGGTTTTCTCCACCCAGCAATGAGAAGCCCTTGGAGAGTTTTAAGCAGAAGAAAGCCATGATCAGATGTGTGAGTTATAAACATCATGCTGATAAGGAGTGTGGGGGTGGAGTGCGGGAGGACAAAAATGGACACAGGAAGACCAATTAAGAGGCTGCTGAAAGAAATCCAAATGATGAGTCCTAAGGGAAGGAGTAGGGAGGGAGGAGAAGGGAGTGGACAAATGAGAAGGTGCCCTCTTTGCTAGGACGGTCACCCACAGAAAGCGACAGTTGAGGGAAAGGACAAAGCCAGGGATGACTCGTCCAGGAGACGCAACTTGGGGCTGCAATCCCAGGCAAGGCAGGGGACACAGGGAGACAGATGCACCTGGCCTTAGGGTGGGGACGGCCCAAGGTGCCCGTGGGCAGCGGCCAGCAGCACAGCCTGGGGGGAGGTTCTGAGCTGGATATGCAGTTCTAGATGACTGCAGGGGGGAGGGGAGCAGTGCACGGGCTCCGCCGGGGAGAATCCTCACGGTGATGAGAAAGGGACCACGCAGAAGCCTACCAAGCTAAGGACAAAAGAGCAAGCACTGGCCAAGCAGACTGTGGAGGCAAGGGCTTTGGGGCTGGAGAACCCGGAGAGACAGGCCAGGCCAGGCGAGGGAGCACCTACCGAGGGGGGAAGGGACCATTCAGAGGCTGCAGACAAGGCGCCTGAAGAGGGAGTCCTCCCTGCTGCAAGCAGTTAGTCAGGTGTTAGCAGCCACAGCCCAGCGAAAGAGTTAAGAAGTGTTGGCAGTTCAGCCGACGTCTGCAGAAGTCTCAAAAAGAATTATGACCTTTCCTCCAACAGCCTCACTGTCTTGCTTCATTTCTCGGTGGGGCCTTCCCGATGACCCTAACTAAACTGCTGGCCACCTCACCTGCCACCCTCTCCCTTTATTTTACTTCAGAGCATTATCATGCCTGCCTGACCTTACATTCGACGTCTCATTCATTTATTCTGTCTCCCCCGCTAGAAACATGTTCTCAGGAGTAGCCTCATGAGGACAGAGAACGTGTGCCGTGTCACCTCTACAGCCACAGTGCCAGGAGTCAGTGCCTGGCACAAGAGCTTAAGCACCTTGTCACCAAGCCTCTTGGCTCATTAGCAACAATAAATATTCACTGAGCACGTATGACATGCCCACACCACACAAGATGCTGGGGGAGTGGCCGGCAAACACCCAGCTCTCAAAGCCTAAAGTTGAAGGTGAGCAGAGAGAAATACCAAATATTCAAACAAAAAGTAGATTATAATTACTGCAGAGCTAGGACCGGAATCTGACTGTGATGCCGTCCAGGGATCTCTCCTCCCCAAGCCCACGACTGTTAACCTTCTATAACCAAAGGAACATTTTACCTGAGGGAAGCAGTTAGAGTGGATAAAGTTTGGTCTTAGTTTCTTGTGGAGATCCCACACTTCCTCTACCCTATCACCAGACTCCTAAGAAGTGGAAACACCCACAATAGGCTCTGAATATTTAACCCGTACAGCTCAGTCCATCCCTAGTCCTTCTACATAAGTAGGAGGAGTAACGCCAGACTTAGGTGAGAGAAAACAGGAAGCAGCATAAATCGGGAGTCAGATCTGTGTTCAAATCTCTTGTAACCTTGGGCAGGTTACTCAGCCTCTTTCTGGTTTGATTTCCTCACTACTGACGTGGGAAAACTAACTCCCCATGTTGGAGGCTGCTGCCAAGAGGACCTAAAATGACATCTGTAGAGCACCCAGCACCACCCAGTACCTAGTGAGGGCTCCATAAACGGTCGCTCTAAACCAGTTACACCTGTTGCCTTTGTTCCCAGATCTCAAACTGCTACATTCACACAAACGAAGCCAAATACGACTTAGACTTCAAACTGAAGAACGTACACTCGAAATGCACAGAGCACAAATTGATAGCTGGCCGGATGACTAGAGGAGTTACCTCCAACTCCCACAGGTGGGCCGACCCGCAGTAAGAAGTCTCATTTCAGTCTCTTGGTCTACCGTCTCTTCCCTTCCACAGTGGCAACTACAATCCTTTCCCCAACAGATCACATCTTGTCTTCTGGCGGAAGTCCAGACATGGGCTGGGTTCTGTGTGCAAGCTGCGGCAGGGCCGCGAGCACCACGCCTCCGAGGGCGCAGAAGAACACAGTTGCCAGCCCGATGTGCACATAAACCCGCAAGCACTGCTTGGCTCCAGGGAAGGAAGTGAGCACCAGTCACAGCATGCTGGACCTGCCTCAGAGCTACAGAAGAGGTAACTGCGACATGCAAATGTCCAAATGTTATGTGCATCTCCCTTCTTTAATGGCCCAGACTCTCTATAAGTGATCTATTTTCCTAAAGTCTCTGATTCTTTATCCCTCATTTATGTCCAACCCTGTGCAGCCTGGAGCCTTCATCCCCATGCCCCGCCCTATTCTCCTCTTGTGGCATCACGGTCCTCAAGGCCCCCTGTAACCAACTTGTCACCAAGTCAGCAGCCTTCCTTCAACTTCCTTCTCTGTAGTCTCTGCTGCCCCCTTCTCTTCCCTTCCTGGGACTCTCTCCTCCTTGGCCTCTGGTTCTCTTCCACCTTCTTCCATCTGGAATTATGCACATTCCCCAAGGCTCAGCTCTCTGCTCATTATGGGGAGAACTTATTTAATCCAATGGCTTCTTCCCTTCCACATCTCCAGACCAAACCCTTTCAGCTTCGGCTTCGGCCCTGCATTTCCAACTGTCTACTCAACATTTCCTGTGGATGAACCACTGTCATCCTGAAAACAGAGTATCTAAAACCAGATGCACCAAACACCCTTCTCGGTCTCCAATCTCTGCATCTGTCAACAGTACCACTGTGAACCACCAAGTTTAAACTTTCTTTTTCTTTGGCTCCTGTCTTTAAAGTCTAAGAACACTATAAATCCTATGGTTCTCCTGTTGCAAGAGCTCTTTTTTGGTCCTTTGCTCCCATTTTAACCACTGTTAACCACATGCCACCATGTGCAGATAGCTGCTGTTCCTTTGGACAAGCCCCATGCCTCCTGTCCAGCTATCAGAAGAATGGACCTAGGATGTCACTTCTGCCATTTCACTTCTTTCCCCAGAATAACCTCAATGGCTTCCCATTGCCTCCAGGACAAAGCCCAAGTGCCTTAGCCTGACATTCGGGGTCTAGAGAAGGAGTTCGCAAACCAGAGCCCACAGGCCAAATCCTACCTACCACCTGTTTTTGTAAACAAAGCTTTACCGTGACCCAGCGGCGCCCATTCATTCCTAGCTGTTCTCATGCTAGAACAGCAGAGCTGAGTAGCTGGGATGGAGACTGCATGGCCTATGAAGTCAAAAATATTTGCCATCTGACCTTTTATAGAAGTTTGCTGACCCTGGTCCAGAATAATCATCTCCTGCCAAAGGTCTTGCCCATGATTCCTCTGAGCTCTTGCTCCTGTGGGTCTGTTGCTTAGTCCACTTTCTTTAGATCTTACACCTGCCTTCTCTAACCCAAAAACCTTATTTCACTCTTCTCTGGATTTTTCCTTCAAAACACAGCCAAAGCCTGCCCTGCTATGAGCCTGGGTGTGTCCACCCCCTACACCCCCTGGATGCCCCTCCTCTGGCCCCCCTCCTGGCATCCACCTCATAAACCTACAGTGAAATTTCACTTCTCCTATGGCTCCCTTCTGCCTGTACCACAGGCTTCTCTGGAGTCTAGGCATGGTCACCTCCACAGAGCCGTGCCACTGATAACTTCCTTGCCCTTTATTCCAAATACAGATCCTCAATAGCATACTTTGGTAAGAAGGCATCAAACAAACTTACCAGTGAAGGCCTAAGATTCCACATTTGAAAAGTTAAGCTTGGGTCCAAATGCGTGCACTCTAGCCAGCACCACCTAAAGCCAACGAAATAAGGGTTCAGCTTAAGAGAGGCTGTTTATACATTGTCTTTCAATTTACAGCCCCCAATAAGTTTTGATTTACCATCCTCTTGGGATGCCCATTTCTGTTACGTTGCCTAGAAAAATTCTGCTCATCTATCAAATCCACTGGATGGTCTGTCCCTAGAAGCCTCCCCAGTGTCCCCAGGAAGCTGGGCACCTCCCCCTCTCCGTTCCCATGGATTTCTCCCATGGCGAGACATTTATGGTAACATGTGACACATGGGAGCATCATTTCTTATTTAGGAATGGGGGTCCCTAGAGTCTAGGCTTTTCAAGAGAAGAGACCTATTAAATTTACCCCTTCTCTTACCCCACTGCCTAGAATGCTGTGGGCATTTAGGTAGTCTTCAATAAACATTTGTAAAAACACGTGGACAAATAACCCACTTAATTCATTAACACATGCCTGGATATTGAAAATTCTGCTAGATCACAATTTTCCCTATGGAAAGGCATGCCTCAGTCCCATTGCTTTTATTTTTTTTTTAATTTATTTTTTTTATTTATTTCTAGGAGAGAGAGAGAGAGACAGCGTGAGCAGGGGAGGGTCAGAGAGAGAGGGAGTCACAGACTCTGAAACAGGCTCCAGGCTCTGAGCTGGCAGTCAGCACAGAGCCCGACGCGGGGCTCGAACCCACGAACCACGAGATCATGACCTAAGCGAAAGTCGGACGCTTAACCGACTAAGCCACCCAGGCGCCCCAGTCCCATTGCTTTTAATAAGCAATGGTTTAACAGGAAGGATTAATGAGATTAATGTTCTAAATGCACACCTTTGGAATGACACTCCCCTGTGGGCAGAGAGCCTTCAGAGGCTTCCAGAATTTAAGAAGGCAAGCCCAACTCTGTAAGCAGGCTGCCGGGCCTGCACTAACTGGCCCAGCCTGAGTCCACAGCCTCAGCTTGCGTGGCCTCCCCCAGGGACCCCACAATCCAGACCAACAGGCTTGATAGCGGGCCCCTTTCTTCTCTGTATTCCCTCCATCTGGATGTCCTTCTTCCTTTCCCTCCATATTACCTCCTACTGAAATGCCATCTGTTTCAAACATTATATCCCAGACCAAGTTCATGATGGGGCCAATAAGTTTTTTTTCCTCTCTCTCTTTTGTGTGTGTGTGTGTGTGTGTGTGTGTTAAAATATACATAACAGAAAATTTATAATCTTAACCGATTTCTGGTACACAGCTCAGTGGTATTAATACGATGTGTTATTGTGTAACCATTACCACCATCCATCCCCAGAACTCGTTTCCACAAAACTGAAACTCTATACCCATTAAATGATAACTCCACGTTTTCCCTCCGCCCCCCCCCCAACCCAACCATTCTCTGAAACCCAGTATGTTTTTGTGGAATGAATAAATGATGAATAAAGATATGAATGAATCTGACCTCAACCCTCCTCACAAAAGCCAGGACTATCCCTTTCTACTAGACTTCCCTGGCACTGTCTTCATCTTTCTTGGATTTATTTCAATCAATCTAAAGCAATCCTGTTTTGGAAACTGTGACTTATTTGAGAGGTTAAGCTCTGGTCCAAAAGCATGCATTTGGCCTGTCCTCCATGTTGCTAGATCCAATGGGCAAGCCTTAGTCCTTGTCTTACAGCTTTTGACACCAGTAAACCATTCCCTCTTGTCTGACGACTCCTTTCACTTGGCTTCTAGGATAGCACTCTTGTTTTCTGCCCACCTCACTGGCTGTTCCTTCCTTCTGCTGGCTTTTCCTTACCTCCTTGCCTCTTAATGTCAGAGTGTCCTAGTGTTCAGGCCTCCTTCTCATCTCTTCTCTGTATACCTTCAGTCACCCCTCAGTGATTTCACCTAGCGTCAGGGATTCAGATATCATTTGTATGCTGAGGATGCCCAGTTTTTTCTCCAAGCCTGGACCTCTCTCTCAACTCCTGGCCAGTAGGATATATCCAACTGCCTGCTTCAAGTAAGATGTCAAAAAGACAGCAGCTCTATGTAAGTCATGTTCAGTGTCCCAAACTTAACATGCCCAGTGCAGACCCCTGGCCTTCCTCCACACCTGCTCCTCCAAGTGTTCCCCATATCAGTCTAATACAACATTCTTCAAGTTGTCCAGGCCCAACGTTTATAGAATCATTCGCGTCTCCTCTCTCTTACTCCATATCCAATCCTCACCCAAATTGGTTTGTACTTCGAAATATACTCAGAACATGACCATTTCTCACTCCCTCTGCCATTACCAACATAGCTGATTACAACAGCCTCCACGCAGGTGTGCCTGCCCCCCTCTCCTCCCTCCCACCCCCCGTGCACTTTGGCTCTTGGTAACACTCCTCCCTCCATCCACAGTCTATTCTGAGTACAGGAGGGAACTGGTTACAACATAAGTCAGATCAGGTCATTTCTTTGCTTTAAATCCTGAAAAGCCTTCCTAGCAAGGCCAATGCCAAAGGGATGAATGTTTGTATGATAGACCTGCAGGCCCAGGGGCAGGCTTGGTGGGAGGAAGGGTCTTCAGGCCACGGTCCATCTCCCATCCATCTGTCAAATGGCAGTACTGGCTGTAGCTCCTATTATCTGATTGCGGGAAGAAAGGAAACTTAAAAGGGAGACCAGTACAATCAGTCAGCTTCCTTTTCCAGTTAAGGCACCACAAAAAGCCAACAGCACTCACATTTCTCAAGAAGCACATAAGATATGTCAAGTCTGCCACCACTTAATAACTGGTTTCCAAAGATAAATCCAGCCCTTCTGGAGAATAGTTATTACCCCCTTGGTGGTGGTGGTGGGGGATCCTCCGTAAGCCCCTCTTCTTCCTGCACCCTCCAGCTGGTCACCAAGCCCTGGTTGCCTGATTGTCTCTAGACTTTCTCCCACTCCTCCTCTTCACTGGTGGGGCAGCCGGAGGTGAAGTCCAAATGAAACAACTAAGGGCTTTAATTAGCCCAGGTCTCCTCGGCTCTCCTTGGAGCTACAGTGGCAACCTCCTAACCAGTCTCCCTACCTCTACTCCCTTGTTTATTTCCAACCACAAACCCAGACACAGGGTCTGTAATGACCTTTAATAAAACCTGAATATGATCAAGTCCTCTGCTTAAAATTCCCCAAAGAGTTCCTATCTTGTTATCCTCTAAACGCTTCAAAACGTAGTAAACCATGCTAAATATTCTTTTTTATCTTCCATAGATGCTTTTCTTCCACCTTCTTAAAAAAGACCATGAAGGCCCCAATAAGGGTAGGCAAATGGTCCAGCCCCAATTAGACTACTCCACTCCCTGGCAACAACTGGCCCCAAAGGGTAAGCACATCATCCAATCTAAGCCAGGCAGAGACTTTTCTCTAGAACTGATAATGCAGATGCAGAGAAAGGAGTTGTCCCTTCACTGCAATTGCTAAACGGGGGCTTTCAGCAGTGGTGCCCCCACGAGGAGCATGGCCCATGTGCAGTAGACTGATGTCAACATACAAAGAATAGAAGACAGGGAGCCAGGCGGACCACTGGCAGCATCAACCCCCACTCTAGAACCCCTTCCTTTTGTGAACTCCTGTAGATTCCTGCCCAGCTGTGGATGGGAACCAGTAACTCCCCACTTATGCCTCCACTAGCAGGCGTCCCAACGGGCACACCATGTCATTTCCCATATCTGCATCTTATTCCACATCGTTCCCTCTGCCCGGAACGTGTGCTCCTTGGGTTTTTACACAACAGCCAGACCTTTAGCTCTATGGAGGCTTCCCTGAAGGGCAGCACAGTTAGTCCAGTCTTCCAGATGTGCTCGTCAATGCCTGGAAGGTTCCCGTTCTGTTGCACATAGACTCCTCCTGGCCCTCCCAGTCTTAGCCGGTCGCCCAAGCTAGAACCCTCATGCTTCGCCTAGTCTCCTCACACTTCCTTGATGCCATGTGGACTTTCCTCTCCTTGCTTTCTGTCCTATCACTCCCCTCCTTGTCTTCTCCTCACTGCACTCCAGCCACCCTGGCCACCTTTACCCTGCTGTTCCCGCTCCCCAGTGCTCTTTCCCCAGTTAAACACACAACTCACTTCTTCACTTCATTTGCTACAGCATACACTATAGTACAAGTTCACAAAAACCCATTTCTTTTTTCTTAGGGGCACATGGCTAGACTGTATTTCCCAACAGCCTCCCTTGCGGTTAGGAGTAAACACGTGACAGAGTTCTAACCGATGGGGGGGAGAAGTGTGTGCTTCTTCCAGACTGGACCATAAAAGGTTCCCCACAAGGGACACATGGGTGGCTTAGTCAAGTAAGCATCTGACTCTTGATTTTGGCTCAGGTCATGATCTTACAGTTCGTGAGATTGAGCCCCATGTTGGGCTCTATACTGATAGTGCAGAGCCTGATTGGGATTCTCTCCCTCTCAAAATAAACAAACATTAAAAAATTTTTAATAAAAATATGAAAAACTTCCCCCACAAGACCATCTCTCTTCTTACTCATCCTCCAGCTAAATGGAAGGCAATCTGAAGACCCTGAAGAAGGCAGAGCCGAAAGATATAAGGAATGTGGGTCCCTCGGTAACTACAAAGAAGGAGCAGCTAAACTGGAATTTTTCTGTACTAGAAATAATGTGTTCTTGGGTTGGTAACACTGAGATTTGGGGGTTTGTTTGCTACTTAACCTAACAGTTTGGTCTCCTTCTCAACAAGACCTTCTCTGACTACTCTGAAATTTTCCCAACACTTCTTAGTCAACTTCCTTGCTTTATTTTTCACCATAATCTTATCACCGTATTGGATAATGTATATTTTATTACTTTGGTCTCTATCTCCCCAAATTTGAATGTGAACTAAAGGCAGGAAACTTTGGCTTTTTATTTTTTTCTTTGCTGTATCCCCTGGGTCTAGAACAGTGCTGGCCATGTTATGGACAATCACTTACTGTTGAATGAATGAATGAATGAATGAATGAATCAAGTACATGGGCTCCAAGGTCAGAAGGGCCTCGGTTGAGGCCCAGC